CGGGCCTGTTGAGAAGTCGTGATTGGATGTATTTTACAAGCTTGCCCGAAACTTATTCATAGGACAGCCCGGTCAACAATGGCACTTTATAATTTTTTAATACTGGTATGTATTATATGTATCATATAAAGTATATGTATATATATTTTGTAAGTGTTTATAATGTATGTGGTTAATATTGGTTCTTTGGCCGAAGGAATCCTAAGTTCTAACTAAACTCTAAAGGTGTCTAATAGATATTCGATTAAGCGGTCCAGTACGGGGGAAAAAGACCTGAATTAGGTCTTGCAACTCGACAAACCAGCATATTTCTTGAGTAAAGATCTTGGTTTTTAAGAAACCAATTTTCATATGGTAATTGACAGAAAATCTACCCTAATTTGTTAATTGATATTATCTTAGTTTATTGGATGCCCCATAAACTCTACCTTAAACTGGTGTATAACCCTATCAGAGGATATCCTTTTGCTGCTTCAATAATTAAGGGCAAGTGAGTCACGCGGATTATAGCCTTGGTTATTACAAGGTATAACTGCAAGATTGTATGATTAATTTACAATGACATAATAAACATCATTGACCAAGCTGCTCATTATTGCTGTAACAATACTGTAGAATTATCAGTGCCTGGTTTTCCATGTTAATCCATGGTTTTAACACAACTTAAAGTAGTTGTACTATATTAGGTTTAGTTCTTCACAATAACTTGTGGATGCGTGTTTTCGACCAGGATTTGACAATGATACTTCTATTTCATGAAACACAAACGAAAATAGTGTTCAACGTTACTTTTTTTTAAATTTTTACTGTTCCATAAAGTTTTTACTTGTCAAGTAATTGTAAGCCAAGCAATCCAGATGGAGACTTTCGGTCGTCAGTTATACACGAGTGATTTTCAGCTTGCAAATTTAGAAGTATGGGTATGATTTATAGAATATCTACAAGACTTTCCTGTTTGCTGCAACAAACTATTCCAGAAATATATCTAAACCAGAAGTTTAGATATATTGACTGTTAACTTTATGCTTGGAGCATATTGTATGAATACCAACTGGGTGTTTAATTAGGACACGTCTACTAGAGGCTAGGTGGGTTTTGGTTAACGTAAATGGCAATAGATTTGATAGGTTTCGATACCCATAATTTAAGACTGAAGTAAGTTTCAATGACCTATTTTGAGCATTGTGGCTTTTACATACTAGTTTAATATTAACTCTTATTTGACCTATTTTACCCTACTTGATACCACTCCCTGCCCATTTGTTTGGACAATAGTATAAAGATTTGGAACAGGAATGATTACATGAAATTTAGGGAAGTTGAGTTTCGGCCAATCCAACCTTGCAACAATTTCAGGTGCACGAACAATTTCCATCGTACATTGTATGAAACTTTCTTCTTCTTTTTTTTTTTACCTCGCCCCTTCTGAGTGTCCCTTTGCTGCAACATCTGAGCAAAAACTCCAGAAAGAACTTAATCAGCTATTTAAGCATTTTCCACTTTCCTTTTATGGTGCACTTGCATTTTCCTTTTAAATGCATACCAAAATATTACATGTTGCCCTACTGAATCGTCCCATAAATCTAACAAGGTTAAATATAAATTGTGATGTTTTCGTGCACATCACTTGGCTTCTCTAATGTATGTGTAAAGTGTACTAGATACTCATGATTTCTACGCCACGAGGAAATGTATATATAATGCTAGACTTGATATTAATTTCTAAATGATAATTTTAATTTTCAAAAATTTGTAAAAAATTGAATGTGGGACATTTGGCACTCTAAAATCTTGGATAAAGGACCTTGATTCTCAAACCAGGTCTTGAACATGCAGACCTAGGTTTCCCCGTTTCTTTCTCGGACAAGTATTAGCACCAAACCCTGCCATAGCATTAAAATGCTCTAAGAGATGTTCAAGTTTTACTCCCCTAACTTAAGCTTGCTGGTTTTCTTCGTTCTAGATACTTGCAAGTTCCCCCTCAATTGCTCTTTTCTCCTAGCATATAGTATACAGTAGTAAATGTGAAGCTAAACTAAAGATGCAATATTTTCCCCAGATGCTCATGGGAGTCGTATGTGCCTTGGCTGAAGAGTAAGTAGAGAAATGGATTGATACTGGTATGCAGTATTTGCTATATAGAAGTGCCTATTATAGGCATGGGAAAACTAATATTGTCTAAATTTTACAGACTCCATTGTCCAGGAGTGGGTAGGTTCCCTGATCCCAAATCATGTGGAGCTTACTATGACTGCACTCCAAACAATGTTGGTGGCTATGATATAACAAAGGACGACTGCAGAGGCTATACATACGATACAGCGAACAGAATTTGTACTGACAAAATGGCAAGTATTAGTTCGACTACATGTATAGTAATACAGAATTTTTGTTGCTTAAATTAAACTTTTTTTTTTTCTCCAAATTTTAGTGTCCAACGCGCAGCAAACGCGGTGTTACTCCAGACAACCATCCTTATTCTCGTCTGTGTGAGAATCGGCCTGATGGATTCTTGTGTGCTAACTGCAAGACGGTGGTTGTGTGTGTCAAAGGGCAAGCTTTCACTCGTCGCTGCATCGAGAATTTCTTCTGTTCTGAGATGCCCCAGTTTGGTGGTGGGGTTTGCTACCCAGATGAACCTGTGGAATGCACCTGCGTAAGGGCGAACGACTTCATAGTGGACCCCTACGACCCTCGGAGGTTCTACTCTTGCAGGGATGTTGGATCAAAACCAACTGCCTACAAATGCCCAGATGGTATGGTATTCGATGAATCGGCTAGGGAATGTCGCGGCACAGATGACTTGCCACCGTGCACTGTTCCCGGAACCTTTGCTAAGCCAAGCAACTGCAGTGAATACTACACGTGCATTTCTGTGAAATATGGATGGTTGCAGAAGCCCTTCACTTGCAGTGCAGGCACTGCTTTTAATTCCGTAAGCGGTATTTGTGAAAATCCTTGTGTTTACCAGCATGTGTGTCAGCAAGAAGGACGTTACCCTGACCATTTCAACAAGCGGAATTACTTTGAATGCTACATGTTGGATGGCCAGTTAAAACAACTGCGTTACCAATGCCCTGAAAAGTACAGGTGGGAGATCCTGTCACCAGGTGTGGGCAGATGTATAGAAGACCATGAGTATGACAGACCGGGCTCTGATACCCCCTTCAGTGAATGCATAATACCACAAGGCATGTGTTGACTGGGTTTGATCAGACCTACAGACGTGCGTATCAACGTTAATTTTAAATATACTGTTATTTGTTAAAGGGACTTTTTCTTAATCCTTTTAGTGTAGGTCTTGCATTGAGGGGGGCAGAATTAGCTCTTATGCTGCAAATAAGACTAGAAATAGCTTATGGATATGTGTAGGCTAAAATTTCTGCATTTCAATATGCGTAATCAACTGGGGTGCCTCCAACTTTACAGGACTTTTGTAGTGGGTTTTTTTTTTTTTTTTTTTATCTTAAACCTTAAGGCCTGCCTACACTAGAAATGATCTGTGGGCTCACGGCTAGGACAGGTAGATGACGTCATATGCAGACAAACTATCAGGAAATCCGAACCAACCACGAAATTAGTTTAAATGGCCAATCATGTGGTGCCTCTGCCATTCTTCCAGGGCCCCCCCCCCCCCAAAAAAAAAAAAATGTACATAATTGGATCATGCTCTGCAAATACATTGACTATAGAAACCTCAACACTATAAAAAAAAAAGTTACACAAGATACTACAAAGCAACATGTTACATACAATAAAAAAAAAAATAAAAAAATCTATATATAGATTATATAGGTAACTTAACACTTCAACATTTTGTTTAATCGTACGTGGGTGAAGATAAGGTTCCCTCCCATGGGATGTCAGAAGATGGACCTAGGTTCAAAATAGGGAACACCTACCTTTTGACCTCTGGCCTCGACTAACTTTGCAAGGTCTTCTCCCTCTTTCCTTTTCAACCTCTTGTTCTGTCCACTTAATTGTAAATTTATTTTTACCCTGTTTGCCACAATACTTCATGATAATGCTAGAATGGGGATTTTGCCCTCTAGCCCCACCCTATTGCTACATTTTGAATGATGCTAATGATCTTAGATATTGACATTGCAGGAAGTGTTCAATAAATGATAAATCGTCCTCCACCCTCGCTTCAACTTATTTTGTAGGATCTTTTCTACTCTTTTACTTTTCCTTTTTTTTCAACATTCCCTTCTGTCTACTCTTCCTAATCGTTAACTCGTTTATACCTTTTCGCCACCATACTGTCATAATGCTGTGGCCTTTTGATGTCTGGCACATTTGTTTCGACTATTGACCAGCCAGGAAATCCACAAACCTCGCTTTGCTTCGCCATCAATCCCCATGTTGCTATTTGAATATGCCTCCTCTTGACACGTGGTTTAAATATGCCACGTGTCAAGAGGATTACAGATTTAAATAGCATGGAACTGAAAGGTTGATAAATGGATTAAAAGCAAAAATTGTGATTAGATGAAATGGAAATGCTTGTTTAAACAAAACTAAGGAAACGTTTGTCAGAAGTGAAAGTGGGATTCTGTAATATCGTCTATAGGGTGAGGCTGGAATTAGAATAAGTGGAAAAGGGTTTAAGGGAATATAATCAAAGTTTCAAGAGAAGTATCAGGAGGGGGATGATCTAGGAAAGTAGTTGTGACAGAAGGGAGTAGCATTTGTATACAGGATTGGAAAGGATGCCAGGAAAGGAAGGGGTGATGCAGATTAAGCTGGATGTGTTGGGAGTATATGGCAGGAAGGGATTTAGGGGGATCATGAAGATGGATGGATGTTAGCACTTTCTGAACATAGAGGGAATTAGAGATATTGGGTATTGGAGGATGGAAGATGTATAATAATGGTGTCTTTCATAATAATCAAGTTTTAATGCCAGTGTTTCCGAAATGGAGTTTTGTTCGAAGAGGTTTTCTTAGAGGGAGAAGGGGGGGGGGGGAGAGATGTTTGCGGCTAAAGCAGAGGGGATGTTTGGAAGGAAGGTGTAGGGAGAACATGAGTAGGAGGGTGGATACCAGCAGAGTGTGGAGAATAGTTGAAGTGTAGGCATGTTATCTTGGGTCAAGATTAGATGGTCTTAAACGTATTCAATCCCCCTCCCATCTCTTGTCGTGGGGGGGGGGGGGCTTAGGACTGAGGCCCAATTTAGGGATCACCCCTGCTTTGAACCTCAGCCCCTGCCTTTACTAATTTTGCTGGGTCTTTGCTTTCCTTTTCCTTCTTTTCTTGATCCCCTTCGTCTGTCAACTTATCCTAATCGTTAACTCCTATTTACCCTTTTCGCTACGATAGTTTACCTTTATGCTGTATAACCTTTGACGTCTGGTACATTTATTTTTGACCACTGACCGTTCTGGAAATCCACAAACATTGGCTTACTGAACTACTTCCCCCCCCCCCCCCAAGTCCCACTTTATCGTAATATTTTGCATTTTCAACAAAGAAATATATGAATCTCTTCGAGAGTTTTGAAGTTGGTTGGAAAGGTCTGAGCAACAAAAGTTTTCTTATGAGGGGGAGTAAGGGAGACACGTAGAAGCGGCAGTGGGAAAGTTTGATGTAGGAGAGGATGGGATTGAACGTTGAGCTTGTCTTGTGTGGAGAGAAAGAAAGTAAGTTTGGAATGTCTGGAATTGTGGTGGATTTCTTATCTATTCATTAGCGGCATATTAAAAATAGTGATACGGTGGTGCTTGGGGGTACATCACCCTTTTTTTGGTTCGTAAGGTGATGTTTGTGAATTCCCAGAATGATTAATAGTTAACACAAATAAATGCGCTAGACATCATAGGTCATATAGAATTATGATAGAATATTGTAAGAATGAGTTAACAATTACGATAAAATGTGTTAGAAGTCAAAGGTTGCAGAACTGTGTAAGATAGTATGGTAGCAAATAGAGCACAGTGGGGATTTGTAAAAGTAGAAGGGGATATAGTGATTAGGTCAAATAAAGAGTATCTATGTGTATGAGGAAAACTGCAAAAAAGGCATAATGAAACGCTCAGTGGGTAATATGGGTAGAAATGGTACTTGGAGAAGTTGTAGAATAATTCAGAGGATGAGATAATGGAACAGGAAGGAATCCGGAGGACATGTTGTGAGAGCATCCAAGTGGGAGTGTTAGGATAATGGGGAGGGAAGAGGAAATGATGCACACGGAGGAGAGGATGGGGTGTTTTGATGGAGAGTGGGAAGAAGAGGGATAGGGTTAACTTGATGATGATGGATATCAGCAAGTATATTGAATGTAGAATGGATGTTAATATCTATAGAGGGTTTGGTGCGTGGGTGAGGGAGTGGAACATTCTCTCGGAAATTTTGGATACCTTCAAGAGTTTCCGGAGGGAAGTTGGGTGGAGACGTCAGAGAAATAGTGAGTTTCTTGTGAGAAGAGGGGATAGATGGTAGGAAAAGATGGGGTAGAACAATTAGATTGTCGAGTGCGACAGGTAGAATGAGAAAGAGGAGAGTATTTATTTTATTTGTTGATAATTTTCTGCCGCATCAACATCTACGATCATTGGCAATGTATTTAAGATACAGTTATAAGGTGATGCTTGGGGCAAAGCCCCAGAGTAAGGAAGTTTAAAGGCAATGTTTGGGGATTGCCAGAATGATTAGTAGTTTAAGAAATAAATGTACTAGACAAAGGTCATATAACATTTTGATAAAGTATTGCAGCAAGAAGGGCAAAAACAAATAGGATAAGTGGAAAGAAGGGGATGAAGAAAAGGAAAAGGAAAAGAGGATACGACCATGCAAAATTAGTTGAAGCCAGGGCTGAGATACGGGTGATCCCTTATATTGGTCCTTAGTCACTGTCTCCTAACCCCCTCCCCCTCCCCACCACAAGAAGCAGGAAAAAGGGGAGGGGAGGAGAGGAAGGGTAGGCATAAGGAAAGTGGTAGAGATTGGAGTATTTAGAGTTAGACTAGAAAAGGAATTTGACTAAGGGAGTAGGATGGGGTAGTTGATGTTGGAGGTTGTGGAGGTAGAGGTATTGAAGTTGAGCATGTTGGGAGAGTAGAAATGTCTCCTGGGGATTGAGTGTTGACAAGGGTGGATACTGTCCTAGTAGGCATTGATGAGGGGGTGGTTGTTGTAGTGTTCCAAGCCGTGGTCAAAGGAGAGCCTGGGGTCAGGGAATCGGGAGAGTTTGAATTGTTGGGGCTCTTTAATGAAGGGGCAAACCTCATTGCCCCTTATAGTTTAATTACTTCAGGCTTACTATGGCCAATAATGATGTATGTTGGGGAGAAAAACAGTCCACCCCTCAGGGTCCACTTGAGGGGTAAGGGCTAGACAACTAAGCAGGGGAATACCGTGCTCATGGCTCCCTCAGGCCGTTGAGGACTGGCACAAAGTCAGCCTTTCATCCTTTCAGCACGGCTCTCACACCTTAGGAAATGAATAGTAGAAGGGATTGGTGAAGGGACAAACGAAAAGTAGGAGTGGAAAAAAAGACCATGCAAAATTCCAAAGGTTGGGGAGTTCCCTATCATTGGGTCCCAGTCTCCGCCTCCTAAGCCCCCCACAACAACAATGGGCAAGGGACTGGGGGGGTTCATTGCTCTAATGCTAAGCTATATTGGCATGTTCTCTTGCTTTGGTTATTTGTTCTTTGTTTGTGCATTTAGGTTCTGTTTTTTTTGCATTGCATGTGTTTGTTTTGCAGTTTTATTTTCTACCTTGGCATATCTATGGAAGACTATGCTGCAACATATGCTAAATAATAGGTGTGTAGCATGTATTTGCTAGGGAAATAAACTTCTTACATCATATTAAGACAAGATATATAATTTAATTGAATAAATGCATAGAAAGTTAATACCCAAAACATGAATTACATAATTTCCTAGAATCGAGATAAGAATGGATATGGTATATTTGGTCATTAGAATTTAAACAATGTAATGATTAATGGTTAAAAGCAAAATAAATGTGCTAGACATCTAAGGTCATGTAGCACTATAGTAAATGTTAGTGAAGGGTGGTTAAGTTAGTAATTAGTTGTCAAAGCCGGGCAAAGGAATTGGTGAGTGAATGGGTTAAGGTCGGGCGAGGTAATGTAAAGGGGTTAGATTAAGTGAAGGATATTTATGCGTTTGAAGAAGGAAAACAGGTTGTCGAAGCAGAAAGTGTGAGATTCTGTAAGGATGTCTGATAGGTTGGGAGGTCGGTGAAGGGAGGATAGGTGGGGGGAAGCAGAGGTACAGACTGCTT